GTAACCAAGGTAAGGCTACTGAATAGATTAATCACACGAAGGTTGGTAATGAACGATAATACTTAGGACAAGATCAATATGTAGAAGATGTGCCAGCGGCTCGTAGAAGAAGTAGTCAACTGCTAGACGTGAGTCAAGTGAATTCCACCTAATTTAATGTGAGGTATCCGAGCCCGTAGGCTCGGCCAAAAATTCCCGGTAGACCCTGTATAAAGTCGCGAAGCTGTTTCCCGAGACGAGACGATACCCTTCGACATAACCTCGTCCGGAGATCATCTCTGCCTGGAGGCAAAGAGTTTAACCAGCACAGTTGGAGATGAACCTCCAACTGCAGACCAACATACAGTATTTACTACTGCATTTTTGTGAATGGGGACATACCTATTATTGTCCGTAGGTATGCTACAACACTATATATCTAAATAATGTTCATTATCTTTCTATTCAGATCTAAGTTTGTCTATCATCTATCTATCTGCTCAGATATATATAACCTTGTTCATCATCTATTTCATCTAGGTTTTTCATTATTTGTCTATTTAGATCTATCTAAATTTGTTAATATCTATGTATGTATCTAGTATATATTAATAAATATACATTGTATACTATCCCTCATATATAATCCCTCAGGTATATATGTCTATATAGAAGGTGTGACAAGATGCATTTTTTAACTTTTTTGATCATTTTTGTTTCATGCGTACACATGTCTTTTGGTAATAAATGCAGAAATTGTCCAAAAATTCGTTGGTTCTGTGCGCTTTCGAATACACTGTGAACCATTTTTAGTGATTTTTTTCCTACTATACCAAATGGTATAAAAGTGCTATTGTAAATGACATATATGTTGCTGAAAATAGACATATTCTAATTTCCAAATATATTTTGACAATGTTATATAATTACTGTTATTATGCTTGTGTTTTGTCTTATCAAAAGAGCTACTATCGGGTGAGGGGTATAAACACGTATCACTTTCGTGTTCAAAAAAAGCATTTTGATGTTGATACGATTCCATGCTGGTTTAAATATGTCTGTGGGGTGCGAACAAATTTAGACAATAACTATATAACATTTGTTTTAATCATCCCCCCCAAGCATAGCGAGAAAACCACAAGTAAGCATGGTGGGGGGTCAGGAAGTGAAAGTGAAAGAGAAGACTAAGAGTAGAGTGGATAGGAAAGAAAAAAGATGAAGTGTATTCAAGAAGACAGAAAATAGCGATTGACATTCCATTTAAATTTTTGAAGATTTTTTTTTTTTTATCAGGGAAGCAAGTAAACCAGTTGTGAAGTGCAAGAAAAGAAACTGTTGTGGTAGATGTACAACACGAGCACCAGACCAGATATGGCAACAATATTCAAAGATTTGTAAATATGCAAGATGGATTTCTGAAAAAAAATTCTGCTACGAGGCAGTAATCCAACTTTCTTAAATTTGAATGAGACCTGCTTGTTGAGGATTGCATCGTAATCAATCCATTATTTACTGGCTGATCTCTCTCTCTCTCTCTCTCACTGTCTCCCCAGGGCAACTCAGCGTGATAGAATGATTAGCAAGTTTAGGCTGCTTGACAGTTGGGTCACGAGTTCAATCCTCATTGAGTGCTCAATACTCGTGGCCTTTACAATGAAACCCATCCAAACTGACTCAACAGCCTGTTGGAAATTTGAACTTCGTGTGAATGTTTCTTTTAGGCTGGAGCAACGCAATCTTCCAGTCTTCCTTGTGTATATTATATGCACCGCTTAATACACTTGTACTCAGATGACGATCGGGAGTAGGAGAACCAAATGTCCTGCAGCCGCAATAGATGTAGTGTGTCTTGGTCAAGATAGCCTGATGGATTCCAACCCTCTCCGGGCTGGGTTAGAATTCAGAGTTTTTACTTCTCCTCGATCGCTTCCCACCCAAGGCTATAGAATCCAATCTGTTCTGCTTTTTCCCCATAACTTGGTGGGTGGGGGAGATAGATTCACACCTTTCCCAAGATCCATAGGGAAGGAACTCTTGACTCAGTTATCAAGCAGCCTAGCCTTGCTAATCATTCTATCACGCTGAGTTGCCCTGGAGAGAGATAGTTCAGCCAGTAAATAGTAGAACATTTTGCTAATATTTCCTTGAATTTTTTTCTATAGACTCAGAAAGAGATGGTTGAAATTTCTGGTAAACATAACCAGGAAAGACGATTTAGAGTCTACGGGACTAATGAAGGGAAGAAGAAGAGAACGGGAAACCACTCCCAAACCCCTGAGGACTATGGGTTACAATAGTTAATAACACTGGGCATTGCTGATATGTTCTCCACAAAGAAAAAAATGAACGTTAATGTGCGGAAATTTCTGGCCCCATTACGAATTAGTTTTGTTCCCCGGTTTTCGGTTAAAGTACACCATTTTCTAAAGCAGCCACGCATCAAAATACTGAACAGACTCGGCATTGCTTAACTTCGCCGATCAATCCAGGAGTCGTGTTTCAGCGTGATTTAATCGTAAACTGTGGACTGTTCTGATTTCAAAGTGGTCTTCCATCAAGACTGAGTGAAGTACCTAAGGTTAGAACGACCAATTCATCCTCCTCTGTTATCGATAACTGGGATTCGTCAATAACAGACACGCTGCCCACACAACTGTACTTGGGTATACCACGTATATTATTGCTAATACAGGTTTATGTATAAAAGCATGTGCAGGTAAAAATTAAAGTCTTTGTTTCTCATAAAGGTACGCGTTAGATCAAATTCAATCTCACGCATAACCTGATAGTATAAAAAAGTGAAATGACACCTTCGTCTTAATTTTTATGTTTTACCTTTGACTTAAAAAGCAATTAGTTGGTCTCTTCTTGCCGGATGTATTCAATGTATAGAGCAAGGTGATTCTCACGGAACCAGACGATCTACCAGGATTTATGCATCTGCGGAGTAAACTTTATCAATATGGGATTTGTAAATGAAGTTGCATAGAAGACGAAATTAGAAAGAAAGAAAAAAGCAAGAATAAAATTCTCCCACAATGCAATAACAGTAAAAAACAGAATGTACAGAGTCGACAGCAGCAGTAATTGGCCATGGCATGAGCTCCGGATTAGAGAATTATAAAAGCATCGGGTGCGTAAATTTAACTACCTGTGAAGCGCTGTAATGTGAGAGAAATCCAGTGATGCTTTGGAATAGGGAAAGTTGCCTTCTACAAATTAAGCAAAGTATTAAGACATAGCAAAATTTCGTTACAAACCCGTAAAAGAAAATGCTGAACGACTATGTAATATCAACCCTCCGACATGGCATTGAATGTTGAACAATTTCCACACAGCTGAAGAGAAGACTTGAGGCAACTTACTGATAAGAATACCACGAAGGAGACATGTGAGAAACGAAGAAGTTTTATGAAAAATGGGGAAAAAAAGTTACAGTAGGCGTTAGAATCAGAAAAGAAAGGGATAGTTGAAATTTTTGTGACACATCATGAGAAAAGACGGTTCGGAGAATTTGACACTTACAGGACTGATTTAAGAGATTAAAGGAAGAGATAAACAGTGAAAAACCTTAGAAAGAAAAGTGTCTAATTGATAGCAGAGCGGGGATTGAAAGCTGGGGTTGCAAGGAGTCATACGTTGCTTCATATTAGAGGGGGACAGGAAAATGTAGGGAGCGATAAACTTACATTTACTGAAGGCACACAACAAGTTGGTTATTAATTTGCTTATTTGAAATGACAAATTAATATAAGGACAATCTCTTATAGGTTGAGTGTAATGTAACTGGGGTATAGTTGTTAGTGGTCAGGAAGTAAGGCGAGCGTTACCCACAAAAAAAATACGCACATTTTTTTATCATTTTGCGCCAAGCAAGGTGATAAAGCCCTTAAGATTCAATGGTTTACTGTAAGTGAAATAAACTGAGAAGGAAAAATAAAAGAACTGGTTTAAAGGAAGCAAGATTGCATTTAATGTTTTGCTGATTGTAGTTGACAAGGAAGCAACAAACTGGAAGATAGTTTTACAAGTAAATTTTGTTGCTAAATGTAATATATTATAAGAATTCATTGGAAATCAGGAAGAGACGAACTGTAAGTTGTTGCTATTAATAGATAATTTACTGGTATACGAGGACTGTTATATTTTTACTGGAAATTTTAATGAATGGCTTTATTGCAGATACAATCATTGAAAATATAGGAGAAAGTGATAATTATTGACCAGGAATTAAATGAAGCCATTGTTGATTGAATAATGTTAAATGTAAAATTCGAAACATATTCATTTATTGCGAAGAACAATATAGATAATTTCACTATAAAAATGTAGAGACTTGTGTATAATTGAAAAGTCACCGACATGTAAGATGAAAAGAGATTGATTTTGGTTTATAATTTATGATGTGGTAATATCCTTGTAAATGCTGAAAAATATTTAACATAAAAAAAATCATTTCACTTTAAAGCAAGGAAATAATGCCACTAAGACTAAAGAGGTTACTGTGAGTGGAATGGAATGAAAATTTAACGATGAGAAACGACAATAAAATAACAGGTTTCAGGAAAATTCATGGTGATTGAAAATTCATGGTGACATTTAAATTTTTGAAGATCGTAACTAGTAGGGAAACAAAAAACTGTAAGAATTTATATATATATATATATATATATATATATATATATATATATATATATATATATATATTAATATACTCTTAAGGTGTGCCATATTTATGGGATAAAGTGTTCAATATCAGAGATAGAGCGTGTGTAAATGTAAAAGTGAACATAGAAGTCAACACTTAGAGGCGACAGTCTGTTTCATGCTAGACGCAATCGTCAGGCCACGTAACGATTGCGTCTAGCATGAAACAGCCTGTCGCCTGTAACTGTTGACTTCAATGTTCACTTTTTATATATATATATATATATATATATATATATATATATATATATATATATATATATATATATATGTATGTATGTATATATCGATCTGCATATATCTGTATCAATACT